GTATTGCAATCAGCAGTGGGACACACCCCCCCCTCCCCAATTAATGTCACCTCTCTCCAGTTGGGATGGGGAAGGGGGCCCCGTTGGGTGCTGACGTGTGTGTACACCCCGGGGCGGTGGGTGCGTGGGGTATACGCACGTTTTAACACGCCAGTGCCCGCCGTTATCTGCGAAAACCGATTAGTACAGGGGGATGCAAACAGGCTGCGGGAAAGGTGACCGCGCAGTACGCTGACCCCTCTCAGCGTGGTTTGCCCAGCGATACGGGGACCATTAAAACGGAATTAAAACTCCTAACGAGGGCTTCGGTATCACCCGCAGCGATAACGGCTCCAGGCATCAGCTCGCCTTTCACCGTTTGCAAAGAGGAGAGAGCGAGGGAGGCGGCGGGCGAAGGACACGGGGCGATGCTGAGCGACGCAGGATGAGGATCCTGGTATCCGCTCGGTGCTGTTTTCCTTTGAGCAGCACATCCCATCCCGAGCCACTACACCCCCTCCGGACCCCCCACAACTTGGTGGCAGCTGCTGGTGTCTCAGCAGAGGATTGGGTTTCTCTGACGACAGCATGGAAAAGCCAACGGACCCTTTTTTTGGTCTTTATGGGTTGAATTTCCTATCGGCATTGCCGCTATTTAGAAAGGATGCTGTGGTAGAGCCACGCCATCCCAGTGCTGCCGGGATGGTCCCCTTCGCGGCAGGGGGGAGGTGGGCTTCTGCGATGAGGTTGGTTCTTGTAATGGAGTAAAGGAGGAATTAATAACATTTTTTTTCAGCAGAGGGAAGGGAATCAGCTGAAATTGTCCCCTTGATTTGTACAGGAGTGGGAAGGGGCTGGAAGCCAAAAAGGCAACGAGGCGCATCCCGGTTTGGTCTCAGGCACCAGTTCAAAGCCATTGGGACGAAGCGCAAAAACCCCAAGAAATATCTCCAAGAAAATAAATAAATAAATGCAAGAAAAGAAATCCTAAGATAATATAAAAATAAATAATATACAATATGTAATATATGATCATATGTAATCAAGATGTAATAGTAATGATATTATTGTTATAATATTAGTATAGTGTATATAGGCTCACAGAATCGTTGTGGTTGGAAGAGACCTCAAAGATCATCAAGTCCAAGATGA